CATGTGTTGATGACAATATGGAAATTTTGAGGAATTTCTGTACGAGTCGTATACACACTCGTGGAGTTAGTGAGGAAACTCCCCGGGGAAAGCAGACATACATTCAACCACCGAATCGTCGATCTATATCGATCCCCTACTTGTAAAGGAATTGAGCTGTTAGTTTTAAGGCGCCCCCTGAATGGATTTGCTTTGGTTTCTTCGGTGATTCTCAGCGTTGAAGGCGGTGGGGCTCTTCCCACAGGCTTGTCGAAAAACGACTCCGGGATGACTGCTGGAACCTATAATACAGTGCTTCCTAGCCTTCTGGGTTTGGCTACCGTGAAGTTTGCTTGCCCTTCCTCAAGATCTGTAACTCCGACATGATGATATCTCTGAAAATGTCCATGAGATGAGGCAAGGTTATATCCATAAAACCCACTTTAGGGTCAGATGTGAGCATATCGCTCAGCTTTTCAGCGATGTAGTTATCTACAGTCGCACGAAGTGGTCCTTGATCGAGCTTTAAGCCTCTGCGGGGTTTGAACTTATGCACGATCGCTTTCGCAGGAGTATTCTGGTCTTTTGCCATGAAGTCTGCTCCTAGTAAACCAGCATATAAAAGTCTTTTCGACTCTGCCATATTTCCATGATGTTTGATCGCGTATTCCTTCACAGCTCTTCCTTCCTCCCAATGAGGAAATGCCAACAAGAATTGACTGAAAACAGCAATCAAATATTCCAAGTATATAAACAAGTTCAACCTGGGCTTGTCGATGAACGCCCGAAATTCGCCATCGTCGAATCTCATTTGGGACACGCCTAGTAAGCCTGCGTCGCTGACAGAGAGTTCGATAGCAACGCCACGGCCTTTTATAGTCGGCGAATTCTGAACGGAGATACTCCACAGTTGCAGGAAGAAGCATATTCTCACCGAGATGACTGATGCCTTTGGAACTCCCGAAAACATTTCATCGATTTGGTCTCGGCTCAGAGCATTAGCCTGTAGGGAATCATCCAGAAATCAATAATGGA